GACATACAGCGCTGATAGCGTTTGTCGAAAAACTGAGGGACTTATCTGGTAGATTTTAATCCTTTTAGGAAATAAAGTGTTAGAAAAAGTGTTTTTGTACATGTGTGTTGGTTTAGTTTAGATAATCAGTGGGCAAACACTATTTTCCGGCCGACCGCCATATTGATGGACCAAAGATACCTACCAACATAGCTGCTCCATACTGGGCTCTGGAGATGTGGGCAAAAACTTTCCGACGAATATCCTAAGTTTGGGGATACAAAGAGACCTAAAACTTGGAGAAGTGTTTCCTTAACCTATATCCTAAAACATTGCCATTTTTTAACCGTGCATCAGTAAGTAATAACGAAGCAGCATTGAGGAGAGTGTTGGGATAAAAGAAATGATAGTATCCCTATATGTGTCATAAAAAGCATATTTTTTTTTTAATATTTCCGTGATTTCTGTCATTTGTAAGCATTACTGCCCTAGCTGCGTTTACAGGAAACGTATACAAGCACTGCAAGTACCTGGAAAATAAATCTACCATACCGACAAAATATTTCATACCTTGACTTTGAAACACTGACTTTTATTTATAAATGCTTTATCGTTCTTTATGGATACTAACAACGTCCCTTGTAAAAATTCACTGTCCTTCTCGAGTCTAAACTGCACCTAAATTAAAATTTCCTCGCGTACTTTCAGTAACGTAACGAAACCATTTACCGTGAATTATCTATTCTTTATGCTTTTCAGTTCTTAGAGAATTATATACACTGTGACAACTACTCAATTTAGCGAGAGCGACTACTTCCGAAAGAAAAACTTTTAAACTTCTGATAGAATTCGTTTCTTTTTTAGGCCCAAGGGAAACGTTTACCGCTATGTAATTTAATACTTTCAACAAATTAGGCACATCTTCGTTGGGCCGGGTTTTTCCAGAAATCTGGGCTAAGCATTAGGACTGTGTAGATAACCTGTCTTCTAACCTGAAAAAAACAACAAACACAACAGTGCGATTGGAAAGCAAAGGAGAATAAACTGCATCAAGTGCCGTTTGGTTCTACAAACTGCGGGCGGTTAAGCGTCACATAGTACTGGAGAGGAAATTATGAAATTATGAAAACCAACCATTCTATTTTCCAAGAACAGCACAACTTGATCCGTATTAAAAGAGCAGAGAGAGACAATGAGAAGGAAAATGGAGAAAAAGCATTGAAGTTAAAGCATGAATTTACTGTCATTTCGGAGTTAAGAGGCAGATCATTTTATGATTCTAAGTCACACATTAAACGAAGTACACTATTACGAAACTAAAACTACAATTACTAACTGTAATGTAATGAGTTGTACCTTGAGCAGGTTGAAGGCTGACATAGTGCACCTCATGAATATGTCCCAGCACAAGTGGTTTGCTATCGTCAACTGGACAATGTGGCGTAATGATTACATCTCTGCTATGGGGTAGACTGCTGACCACACGAATGCACGTTTCAAAGTAGTTTGCTGCGGCACACAGAGTCACGTGATCACCCCAAGCGCCATCTTGTTCCACGTGTGTTAGGTATTCAGTCCATGTTTGATGTCCATGGACAAAGTGAAACAGGTCTGTTCCATCTGGCTGTGAGAAAAATCAGTTAAAAAAGCAAACTTAACCAAGGAGGATTGTTGATAGAAAACTAAGTGCGTGAAGCACGATTCAGGGAGTAACATAAGAATAGTTCGAGACGACCTTTAATTAGCTATTTACTATATAACAACAAATTTTCTTATTGAAAAGTTTTCCAAAACGTCCGTGTATTTTCCAAAGGCTTAGCAAACTGCAGGAAAAACAAAACAAAAAACAAACAAAAAGGAAAAAACCAGGAAGATTCAACATGAAGAGAATAACTAGAATTCTGTCATATGAAGGTGGTTTAAAAGCAGCTTTCTTGAAAACTGAAATATTCTAACCACGGAAAGGGGTAGCCTGCTTCTTAGGACATTATATTCAGTACCAAAGGATTCAACTATAACCAACATCATTGTGTGGCATCTCACAAAATATAGTTCAACTTTTCAGTTCCTCTTCCCCCCAGGATACAAGCTGGGGACTTCATCATCAGGCTTGATCCTGGGATAGGCTCTGTCTGGTGGTGTTGATCTGTATACACACTTCACCTTTATCATACTCTCACGATAATATCACGTGACATACTCTGTTAGACATACTAACATCAACTTACTAGTTTTGGGTTACTCCTGAGGTACTGGACCAAGGTTTGTCTTAATGTGCCATGTGTGATTTTGATTCCTTTAACAATATCCAGTTGTTCTGACAAGGCATAGAACATGCAATTTCCTGATCCTTGAATTTCAGATATTCTGAAGCCCTTGACAGATGCAATATTCCTCAGCCCCATTGAAAGATCTGTTCTTCTTTTAACTTTGCTTGCATCAAGCTGCATCTGTTGAAGTTCCTGGATGATTTGGTCAAGAGTACCTAGAAAAGTTGAAGTTTTTACTAATCTAATCACTACATGAAAGAAGAGCAAGCAGAGCCTTGAAGTGACACTGGCAGTCAAGTGACTTGTTAGGTTCGCCGGATATTTGCCCGTTACGGAATTTTGGATAAAATAATAATCAAGAGAGAAGAAGTAGACACGAAACAGGTCTACACTCTAACATATCTGCGAATCCTAGGAAAAATTCTGAGCTTCAAAAAGATACTGATGTATTTCCTCTATCGTATCAATATACGATTTCTTCAATACGGTGTCGAAAGACAAAAGTATTGTGACCGGTTTTGATCGAAACAGCGTTTAAACTTCCGCTTCGTTTTGGGAAAAAGAAAAAGAACATCCCAGGTCTCCCTGTTTCGGGCAATTTATGTTTGTTTCCTGGTGAAATGGGATGAGAACTTCAATGGACTGAAAGAAATATATAACACCAAACCATCCGTCCAGATCGGTAGTTAAAGAAAATCAAACTTGTGTATACATGCCTTGGGATTGTACCCGAAATCAGAGGTATAATAAATATTAACATATGTTTCCCTAATGTAAAATGCTATCAGAAGCACTACTTCTAACGAAGCGTAGCTGGCCTGGAGTTAAAGGAAAAGGAAAGGTGAAATGTTGAATCTTCTTGAAATTTGTCTATTCATTTTTGGGGAAGTAATTTCCCTGTGTTATTTATATTTTTACTCACTTGGAGTCAGTAATGAATCAACTGTTTGTTGTTTGGTTGACG